ACTATTTGATACGTGGTATATAATTTTTCTTTGAAAATGGTCGGCTTAGGCTATATTATGAATTATGATCGAGACTTGATAGGAAATAAATCATTATAATAAAAATAATACTTAGTGATTCAACGTCTTAAATTATACATTGTCGTAAGAGCGCATTATTTAACTAGTGTTTGATTATAAATTTTAGATTAGATTTTAAAAAGAAGTTCAATTATGTGTCTCGTTATAAATTTGATCAGATTTTAAAAATTCTTCAAAATATTTCAAGTTTTATTTTAATTCCATTCAAGAAACTTTAAAAAAAAACAAGTAAAATATATGTCCAAACACAATTTCGAGTTTCAAAAATACAAATTTGCAAGTTTTAAATTTCAATTTTGAAATGTATGACAAAACGAAAACTTATTAATTTATCACTCGAAATAGAAAACTTGAGAGAAGAAAGACACGAGACTAACACGTGAGGTTATGTCGACAACACGTGCCAAATTAAAAGCATGAAAGGCAGACATTTAGACATTTATTTAAAACTCATAATATTTTGCTCGTCTCTTAAATCGATAAAAAAGAATAAATAAAATTCACACACACAATAACTCTGAAGCAATAAATCCAGAGGTTGAGTTTATTAATTTTCGAAACAAACAAAGTCTATCAATAACGATCCCTTGAGAATTTAAGATTCTCTACAACAAAGCAAACATAATAATTTTAACGTGTAGATAATGATAATTATGAAAGACGGAGGGCACGAAAAAACATTACTTAGAATTATTATTGTTATAAATACATATCTTTGATTATAAAACTATATATGATATATCTTCCCCTCACTTGTAACTTATCTATTTTCATCACAATGCACAGCTCTATTACTCCCACCTTTGATTTATTTGGTAATTACAACTCGTGTATTTTTGAACCATTAAAATAAATTTAATTATTATTTCAAGCTTGGATTAAGAGATAAATAAATAACTTGGAAATAACATTTATTTTTTGAAAAAGGATTATATTTATCGTTATAGCACTTTCATAAAAGGGTTATACTTGTCCTTTATCATACTTTTTTTGTAATATATGTATCCTTGGCATCCAACTCAGTTAAATTTTGTATTCCTCACTTCTATCATCTTACTTGGCAAGGCTAGAACATGCAACCTCAAAGAATTTTCGTAAATCTTTAGCCACTAGACTAAACATTCAACTTATGTAAAGAGGTATCAATACTTGTATATATATTATTAAATCAAATTTGACATTTATATACAATGTCATTTTCCGACGAAAGAGTATCGCTTGACACCCCGGTGGCTCCGCCCCTGATATCAATTGCTACTCTATTAGGATAGCAGAGCTTAAAAGGATACCATCACCTGAACAATAACAAACAAAAAATTTTTAAAAAAAATATCGGTGACCCATAAATCATTCTTAACATATACCCAATTACTAAAAATCAAGAATGTGAAAAAATGTTATGATAAAAAAAACCTCGTAGTCTTTAATGTAATTCCATATAGTAAAAGGATTCTTTTCTGATTCGCCAATCTGATAGAGTTGAGTCTCTCAATGTAATATTGGTTTGAGTATAATTATTAAATAATTAGGAAGAAATTTTAATTGAATTAAATATATATATATTCATGTAGGCATGTCATGTAGATGTAGGTGTCGCATATGATAACGAAATTAGGGAATATGAAACTTAACCGTCTAAGGGCAAATATATGTGTCTAAAGTTGGATGACCTGGACAAATATATTTAAAAAAAATATGACAAGCGGTAAATATAACTCTTTTTCTAAAAGTAAAAGAATAGTTATAACCCATTTTCACTTATTTTTCAAGTAGGGATTTGATTTACATACGATATGTCATGTTTAAACCTTATTTATGGAATTAGACTAACTGATACATTATTGCCGTTTTTATTTATCTTAAATTACAATTAATTTTAATTTTTTTAAGCAAAGTCTTCTCATAAATACTAGAATATTATTACTAATATATGTACATATAACCAAATTGCAATTAATAATTAGAAAAGTTCATTATTTTCTTTTATAGTCATGACATTAGGAATTGAGTGAACAAAATTGAAATTCTAATTAAATAATAGTAAAACTTTATCTAATATTTAGAACTTTGAATTAAATTACTTAAAAAATTATTATCTACCAATGAAATTTTTTAGAACAAGAACCAATGTATTATATTGCAACAATTGGTTAACACTTTATTTTTTTTTAAAGAACTTCTCAAGCTATATATAAGATACTTATCTATCATATAAAGTTATATACTATAAATACATACAAATGATCATTTTATATAATAAAATATAATAAAAACAAATAAGTTATATATAAGATACTTATCTATCATATAAAGTTATAAATTATAAATACATACAAATGATCATTTTATATAATAAGATATAATAAAAATAAATTTGTTAGAGGTCTTTTATTTGTAGAGATTTTAATTGTTTTACACTTGAGTCACCATGTTGGTGGAATAACATTATCTGCATAATATCAATTACTGGATAGACTTTTGGAAGTCCATTAAGAGTTAGATAATCAATAACTTTGGAACTCTATTAAGAGTATACATTCAATAACAAAAAAATAACAATCCCTTCAGCAAAAAAATAAGACCATTGATAAGAACATTGATACTATAAGAAATGACCAAATAACAAAAAACCATCATATATGAAAAGTGTTAATCCCGAATAGGAGTCATATTGGTCAATGGAGGTTGGGATTTGTTGAGATCACATCCACACAAGCCCTGTGATGGCAGAACTCCAAGCATTGAAAAGGGAATTGCAACTAGCCGTAGAACTTAACCCAACTCTTGAAAATACAAATTGATTCTACTAACATTATCCACATGATTGATAACGAACAATAAGATCACGGATAAACTAGTGAAATAGAACCAAACAAATAGTTTTTGATGTTTCAGTTATTATAT